TAATGCTAACAACCAAAACAGTTATGATAATCGTAGAAGTGATTCGCGGAGCAATAAGACGATTACATGAAGAGTATCTGACAAAAATGATTACACGACGAATATCTGATGAAAATCATTTGAAATTGCGAGAAAAAAAAACGCTTCAAAAGTTCTATCATCTTCACTGGGCAAAACGGAGACAGCACCTTCGAGTTCGCGTCTTGAGATGAAACCGATGTAATTATTGTTCAAAGCAATCAAATGACATAATGCGATAAAACAATTGTTCACTGGCAGTAAATAATAAACGAGAAGAATGCATAAGACATAATCGGATAATAAAATAAAACGATTGGCCGTTCGAAAGAAATGAATATTTACAGATTGGCTGAATCGATCGGTATGCTTATATGAGGGAAAACCGTTTCACTGAACGCTGGCGAGGTAACAAAAATAAATTACAAGAACAAAAATAGTGAGAATTACATGAAAACTGACAAAATAACATCAATCGAGGAATATTCATAATGATCAACACATTGTGGAGAACAACAGTCTGTTCATGGAAATTAACAGAGCTTCATTATAACACATGATGTCCAAACAATAATACATGATCTTCAAACAATGTTCACTGATCATCAAATCAGCAATCAATACGTTCAATCTGCAGTTTTTATTGATCAACTTAGTCGAGAGCTGCACAAAACACCCCAAAATTTTGTTGTTTCTTGATTCCGATTTGATGACCATTAAAAGATATTAAACTAATGACAATAATCAAATCATGAATAATAATGCTAACAACCGTTATGACGATGTTAGAAGTGATAATCAGAGCAATTTTAACAATATTATAATAGTGAGATACTGATAATATTGAAGGCTTAATCACTGACTTCGAAGTCGCTATCGAAAGCTTTTTTCTTTCTAGTTGCCTTCTTTTTCGGCATTATATCCGAATCATCCAGGCTATCGTCAAAGTTGAAATTCTTCGCAGCTGTAGCACGCACTGGACGAGATGCCTTCGGTGCGACGGCATTGCCTTCATCTTTACTGGAGTGTGGTATTTCTGCTATGTCCGAATCTGACCCTGACGAAGATAGAAAGCCTTTTTTGGATGATTTTTTCGGTAACGCGTGCTGAAAATATCGTTATTATTATTATCATTATTATTATTATTATTATTATTACGACCCCTAACATTAAAAGTATTGCTACAATGATGATAATAAGAATTATTATCAGTACTTATTTTTTTAAATCGTTACACATATGACTATTGGATACTATGTGTCCCTCACTGCGTTGAGATACGTATTGATTATTGAATTAATCAGTGGAACACCACACTGAGACTTACATGTGCAAAGTAATCATTCGAAGAGGCGCCGTTCTTCTTCTTTTTCGTCATATCCTGAATATCGTCATCGTCTGAGCCGCTTGACTGAAACGAATTAAACTCCTCAATGTTTCCCAATGAAAGATGTCAAAATTTGATCAAAACTGATCCGAAGATACACAACGATCACGACAATAAAATCATTACCGATAAGGATGCTGCATGCTGTTTCTTTCCTTTGACGTTAGATACAGAAAATCTGGGAATACGATAAATACCATCATTACTATTACTCTCTGCCTTCTACGTATTCCCACC